CATTATATATTTATATTTATGTATATATATATATAATATATATATAAATATATATATATACATATATATAATATATATTATATATATTATATATATACATAAATATAAATATATATAATATATGTATATATAAAAAAAAAAAAATATAATATATATATATATATATATATATATATATATATATATATATATATATTTTTTTTTTTTTTTTTTTTTTTTATATACATATATACATATATTTATATTTATGTATATATATATATATATATATATATATTATATATATATATATATATATATATAATATATATATATATATATATATATATATATTATATGTATGTATATATATTTATATATATATATATATATATATATATAGATGTATATATACACATATGGGGCAATGCCGGAGGGGGTAGCAGAGGTGGTGTCTGCCCAGAGCAACTGCTCGAGGTTTAATCTCAGGCTGCCTGTCCGGGTGGAAGCTTAGAACATCTGATCTTTACGGCAGGATGATAAATTACCCTTATTATCGAGGGAACTGAGGCAGCTGGGAGTTGAGGAGGCCGCCCTCTTGGAGGTGAGGGGACCTGGCAGCGGCCCGATCAGTATGGGTGGGTATATCTAATACTGGTCGGGGCGATGGTCATTATTTCCAGGTGGTAGCCTTAGCCACCTCCACCCGACTTCAACCTTCAGTAGTAAAGGTGTCTCAAGAGTATTTGGAGGTGCCAGTACCTGGGCAGGACTAAGTTAAGTGTCTTTAAGGCCTTGATACTGACAGTTTTGCTTTATAGTATCAAAACCTGGATGCTATCTAGTGCCTCGGAGTCCCGTCTCAATGCCTTTTGTAATAATTCCCTACATCGGATCAAGGGGTACAGTTGGCAGGACCATGTGACTAACTGGTGACTTCACCGAGAGACTGGCATGGGACTGTTACTTGCATAATCCATGATCGCCAACTCAGGATATACAGGCTCCTAGCTTGTTTCCCTGTGGATGACCCTGCCCATCAGGTTGTTTCTTTATGAGACAATACTGCATGGAAGAGGCTTAGGATGTCGTAGTGACCTGTAGTGTAAAATTAGAGATGGGCCAAGGGTCTGCCTGGTGACTCACCATGAGGTATCCCCATGGCTGGAAGCAGAGGATGAATGCGGCTATGCCATATATGTAACATATGGAAGCTGCCTACTTTGTCCACTTCAAAATCCAGCTCTGAACCACACCATCACTCTGACATTTCTCCATCATACTGCTATTCTGTCATAATTTCATCACACCATAAATCTACTATTCCTCCATCACTGTCAATCCTTTAACACACCATCAGGCTACCATTCTTCTATCATTCTGCCATTCCTTTAGCACACCATCACTTTGCCATCCATCCAACACACATTTACCTTCGACATTTCTAAATCACACAGTTATCCTGTCATTCCTCTATCACACAATCACTCTGTCATTTGTCTATTACACCCTCACTCTTCTATTCCTACATCACACCCCCACTCTGCAATCCTTTATCATACCACCACTATAACTTTATTCCACAACATCATCTGATGCTTTCTCTCTGCTGCTCTCACCCTGCCATTCCTACATTACACCTGTCTACCTTTCCTTTATCACATCACCACTGTGCTATTAGTCCATCACACCATCAATTTCCTATTCCGCTATCAAACCATTAATCAGCCATGCAACATAATTACCCCATCATTCCTTTATCACTGTCACTCTACCATTCCTCAATCACAACACTCTGCCATTCCTCCAACACATGATCACCCAGTCATAGTGTCGTCCCTCCATGCCATTCTGCTCATCCTACCCATCCACAGGATTTCAACAAATAAATATAAGTTATTGAAAAGGTTAACCAATTACTGATTGACTACTTTGCAAATAGTATTCAGTCACCATGATTACAAAAAAATTGCAGGTATTTCCTATCACTATATTATATCCCAATAAATATAGATAGGGTTAAAAAATATATATAAATACTTTTTGGCATCAAGTATTTTTTAAATATATTGTAGCTAATTCCTACAGATGAACTTACACAGGACAACTTACCTATAGCAAGGGCAAAGGTATTGGGTAGTGGGCGACTTAGATAATACATGAAGTGAAATTGGGAAGCAGTGATGAGGGTGAACCAGAAGGTAACAGACGGGCCAAAGCTCTCCTGCAGTTGTTTTCGGAAACGGCGCCAAGCCAAGATTACCAGAAGCCCTAGTACTCCTCGCACTGTAAATTTTTAAAAAACACTAGGAATTAATTACAAGTATATTTTTTCTTAACCCTTTGGAACTGGTTGCATCACAGATATGACAGTGCTGAAAACCAGGGCAATGAGTTACATAAGTGGTCAATATCCTGGGCATGCAGCGCGTAGGCTGGGCATGCAGTGCACAGGCCAGGCGCACATGAACACCCATGAGCGGTGACAAGACTCTGTGCCTCCTCTTTGCAAAGTTATTTTGTGTAAACTTTTTTAGCTTTATCACCATTTTTCAATTTCCATATTTGTCTTTTGATCTGCTTTATCCAGATGGTAATTACTTATTTTCCTTGCAAAGACTCCATATCATCTCTCTATGTAATAAATAACCCAGAGCAAAAAAAAAAAGAAAGAAGAATAAAGAAAAGAAAATGGTTGTGTCATATATCTAATTTTTACATAATTTCCAATTTCACATAATGCAAACTGCACCACTGGTCACAATGGCCAGGAATAAAGTGCATAGAATGGAAATGGAGTCCTCCCTGGAGCCGGCGCTCTTCCGGTCACTGCTTCCACGTTACATTCCACATTTGTTTATCTATGGAAATAATGCTAAAGCCCCCTTCTAAACACAGAATGAGTCAAATCACACTCCACGAGGTTTGTGCACTCATGGCAAGATTTTTCCGTTAACCTGGCCTTCGCTCATAACGGTAGTTCATGCCACCCACGCCATGGCCAATTTGCCCAACTGACACCTGTCCCTCAGCTCAAGTTTTTCCATGACATGAATGCAATGTCATTTCGGTCCAATGGGTTAAGAGATGAATATAACAGTAAATATATAATCTCATATCCATAATTCTTACATAACTCAATTTTGTATTTTTTTCTTGTGAGTGGAGTTGCTTTTCAAAGATAAAGTAGATTGTCAGACCTCATTATATATATAAAAGATATAACAAAAAATTATTTTCACAAGAACACAATGGAGATAGAAATCTAGCATAATCATTATTCTAAAATCTGGATTTCAGATCATCATATTTTTATAACTTACCAATATACTGGGCTAAAAACTTTGAAAGGCCAAGAAGCTTAATAATGGCCACAATTGGGTAAGCAATTGCAGAAACGACAAGTGGTCCTACAAAGGTCCTTGGCACAACACCTGGGAATTCTAAGTGGTCATACTGTGGAAGAGGAAGAAAAAGAATAATTTTTTATCATATTTTTTTTTATAAATCCTTTTAAATCTAATAATATAAAAATAACAAAGACAATATCCTGTGCAAATGAACGTAAAAATATGCTGAACATTTGACAAAAATTAATCAAGACTTTAAAAAGAGTACAAACAAATACTATAAGACTATGATCACTCTAGTAATTTCTTTATCCATTAACCACAGCATCTTGAAAACCAGTCATCACCCACTATGGAAAAAGGAATGTTTTCTTGCTAAAAGGGTTCTCCTTGAGGTAAGAGTTCTGGAGTGTCATTTTGAGTTAGGTAGCTTAGAATTTTCAAATGTGTGAGCAAACTCACCATATGATTGTTAGATCCCGCCTTTGGTTATTTCTCAGTGCAATAAAGGCATAGGCACATGGAGTGATTTAGTATTTTGAGCAATTTGCATAATCAAAAATATATATATAGGAAAAAAATCTAGCATAATTTGCATAATCAAAAAAATATATATAGGAAAAAAATCTAGCATAAATTGGCCTGTTAAGTATAGAATATACCATGTATTGAGATTTCCTAGTAACACAGTGTCTTCTAGACATAGGTTAGTATATACATCAAGTATTGAATACATAAAGCAAAAAAAGGAAAGATGAAAAATGAGTACACATCAATATCTTGTGTGAATATGAAAAGAACCCTCTCCACTCTTCTTTCAACAGTCTCTCCCAAAGAACCCATTATCTGACTATATGCAAAGACAAACTGCTATTTGGATGAATTGCATCAGCCTATCATAGCACTGGATGGCAGCCTACAAAAACATGTAATACAGATGTAGTCCTATCACCTGAAGATTATTTATTCACTAACTCCCTCAAGTGTTTCTAAATACTAACTTTCTTGCAAAATCCCCCCCCCCTCCCCCCCTGTACACAGCATAGGAAGGCATAGGAACAGATAGCGAGACTTAGCCAGTGCGATACTCTCTTTCAGGGTGCAAACACAAGCATGCTCTATTTATGTTACACCAGTGCACCAATAATTCTCAAGATTAAACAGAAATGTTATATCCATGCTATGTTTACAAGTTTACAGCAGTTTCATACTAGAAGCATAATCCATAGCATGCAACAAGGCTGGGGGGGAATCAGACTCCATTTTTTATCAGAATCTATTTAATCATATCTATCAAAATTCTTCCAAGGTTAGTTTAAATTACTTTATGAATCATTTCAGAAAAGAATTATTATTCTTTAATTTATCTATCTATCTTTTATGCAACAATTTATGTCTTCAAATGGGATTTTTTACAAATTTTTACCTACCAAAATCCATTGGGCAAAATCTACTTAAAACAATTTCATTGAAAAGTGTATACATAGATACATATTCATAAACAAATATATATACAGATATAAATATATATACATATATATATATATATATATATATATATATATATATATATATATATATAATATATACAATACACACACAACTACATACATACACACACACACACACATATATATATATATATATATATATATATATATATATATATATATATATATATATATATATATATAATATATATATATATATATATACAGTGCACGTCAAAAATCTTGGCGTTTTTTTGTTTTTTTGTAATACCCCTCTAATATCATGCAAATCAGCCTATAATTTTGGTGGACCGTCAGCTGATAGATTACTCATCTGACTCCACACTGGCAGTTTCAGATATCACTCAATTACCTCTGAGTAGTGAAAGTGAGCAGAATTGCAATGTGCTTTTTCCGTGAATAGCCTAGCATTCTGCCTGAATTCTGTTGCTGTTTTTGGCCAGTGTGTTGTGATGGGTGGAAGTAAACATCTGAAAAGTGATCAGACTGCTGCTATTACAGCACTCTGTAAGGCGGGGAAATCTAATACAGAAATATCAAATACAACCGGAATTTCATTGCAAAGTGTCCAGAAATGGACAACAAAATTTCATGATTGCGGAGACACTGACCCGCCACTGCAGAAAAAGCAGCCAGGGTGGCCACAGAAAACATCTAAACGCACATTAAATGTGCTCAGGAGGGAGGTGGCTAGTCAGCAATGAATAACAGCAACAGAATTAAAAGAAAGTTACCCTGTATTACTGGCTGATGTGTCTGTGAGAACCATACAGCGATGGCTCCACAATGACTTGAAAATTTCCCACTGCATTGCTCGCAAGAAACCAATTGTCACCCTTAAACAGAGGCAAGAAATATCTTCAGTGGGACGATGACAAGTGGAAACAAGTGTTATGGAGTAATGAGGCTACATTTAGTGTAGCTGGAAACAGAGACATCAAAGATTATCGGCGCCCTGAAAGTGATCTATATGACCCAAGATTCATCCAAGGGACTGAAATATCCAGATAAATTGATGGTGATGGTGTTTTGATGAATGTAGACAGATATTTGCAGCTACTGAGTAATAATCTGGAAGATTGCTTTGAGCAGTGCCAAACAGATGTATTTATGCAGGATGGTGCACCATGCCATTATGCAAAGCTTTAAATCCTATTGACAACTTGTGGCCACTAATGAAAAACAGATTACGTGAGCATGATACCTCATCAATCCTTAAGCTTGAGGCAGCCATCACAACACACTGACCAAAAACAGCAACAGAACTCAGGCAAAATGCTAGGCTATTCACGAAAAAAGCACGTAGCAATTCTGCTCAGGTAATTGAGTGATATCTGAAACCACCAATGAGGAGTTAGATGAGTAATCTATCAGCTGATGGGCCGTCAAGATTACAGGTCGATTTGCATGATATTAGAGTGGCATTACAGAAAAACGTTGTAGCCAACCCCCGCAACCTGCAGCGCAGCATACTTCCCCCAGGTTGGGTCCAGGTCCACAGCCTGTCCTCTCGCCTTCACCATCAGCAGCTTCTCGACGACGCATACCGAGATCTGATTGGTTGACCACGGACACCTCACGGCTCGCCTATTGGACCGCAGGCTCCCCTCGTTTCCGGGTAGCTTACACAGCTCAGACCCACTTAAGCTCCCGCACCCGGGCCGAGTTCAGCACTCACGATCCTCCAGCTGAGCAAGACACAGCAAGCAGCAACTAGGCCTACCCAGGCCTTAGCCGACAGGTGAGCTGTCCCGGCTCTCCCCGGCGATCTCCAGCACACCAGCCATACCTGTGGGCACTCACACCCACACACAAAAGCTCCTTAAAGAGATGATTGACACCAGTCTATGGCGGCTACCAATCCATTGCCGTACTGGTGACTTTCCGGAGTGACACAAATACCCAGCTTTCTGGAGTATCACGGTTATCGCTCGCTCGCTTAGCTCCCTCACTGGAGGGGGAGTACCTGAAGCCGACTCCCACAACCTGCAGCACAGCATACTTCCCCCAGGTTGGGTCCAGGTCCACAGCCTGTCCTCTCGCCCTCACCATCAGCAGCTTCTCGACGACTCATACCGAGACCTGATTGGTTGACCATGGACACCTCACGGCTCGCCTATTGGACCGCAGGCTCCCCTCGTTCCCGGGTAGCTTACACAGCTCAGACCCACTTAAGCTCCCGCACCCGGGCCGAGTTCAGCACTCATGATCCTCTAGCCGAGCAAGACACAGCAAGCAGCAACTAGGCCTACCCAGGCCTTAGCCGACAGGTGAGCCGCCCCGGCTCTCCCCGGCGATCTCCAGCACACCAGCCATACCTGTGGGCACTCACACCCACACACAAAAGCTCCTTAAAGAGATGATTGACACCAGTCTATGGCGGATACCAATCCATTGCCAGAATGTAAAAAATTTTGACGCGGTCCATCTGGCGCCAAGATTTCTGACGTGCACTGTATATATATATATATAGTTATATATCTGTGTGTGTGTGTGTGCTTATGTATTATGTGTGTGTGTGTGCTTATGTTATGTGTGTGTGTATGTATTGTATGTATATATGTATATATATATATATATATATATATATATATATATATATATATATATATATAATATATATATATATATATATATATATATATTATATATATATATATATATATATATATATATATATATATATATATATATATATATATATATATATAATATATATATATATATATATATATATATGTATATATATGTATATATATATATATATATATATATATATATATATATATATATATATATATATATATATATAATATATATTATATATATATATATATATATATATATATATATATAATATATATATATATATATATATATATATATATATATATATATATATATATATATTATATATATTATATATATATATATATATATATATATATATATATATATATATATATATATATATAATATATATATAATATATATATATATATATATATATATATATATATATATATATATATATATATATATATATATATATATATATATATATATATATATATATATATATATATATATATATATATATATATATTCATCTAGGAGTAACGCCAATGGTGGTGCATAGTCGCATCAACCCTTTGTTATATCCCTCATGGCAAGCTGCCAGGCAGGGACTCGGCCTATCTCGAGTTCTTCATGACAGATATGATCAATCTGCCCAAGCGATGACTTCCTAGGTCATCCCACAGGCCTCCTCCACCCAGGGCTGTCTCAAACAAAGACAACCTGATGGGCAGGATCATACTGAGGAAAGCGAGCCAGATGGCCATATAGCCAAATGTTGGTTGGAAACATGGTCCCACCAACAGTACCCCATGATCCAGCACAAGGATCTATTACAAAGGGCATCAAGACAAAACTCCAAGGCACAGGATAATGTCCAGGTTTCACTGCCATATAGCAAAACTGGCATTATCAGGGCCTTGAAAACCCCTAGCTTGGTCCTTCTGCATAGGTACTGACATCTCCAAATACTCTTGTTGACAGAGTTCATGACCCCTGCTGTCAGGCCAAACCGTCA